CCATCTTTTAGCTCTCTTCCATGGCTTTTAACAAGATCCTTCTGATTAAAATGTTGAAATTTTTTGATGGGACAAGGTCTTCTGCTGTCCACTCTTCTAGCTCCATGGCGATGCACCCGGTGAAAGGTGATCTTTTGTACCGTTTCTTCAGGTATCTTCATTTAGGTCTGGAGAAAGTTCTTGATTGTTTGCTCGCAGTTCTCCGCCTCTCCCGTCTGCTTTGGCAGGCCAGCGAACACCAAATTATCCCTCATGCTAGGGGCCTGAAGGTCCAGAACAGTCTCTTTGAGAATCTTGTTGTACTGAGTGATCCGCTTCACTCCCTCTTCCAGGGAAGAAACAGACTCCCGCTGAGACGCGTTCTCAGCAGCGAGCTGCTGCACCCGCTCCTGGCTGAACTCCAGGGAGGTTCTGAGGTTCTGGAACTCCTGATGTAGAACCTCAAGCAGGTTGAGTCACCCCTCAAATCCCAGAAGCCGTTTATCTATAGAATCTAATAATTCTAATATGTCCTTACGGGGAGATGAGGCCTCAGGTGAGTCCTGAGGACGGCTCCTCTTGGTTCCAGGTGTTTCCGTCTCAGCTGCTGATTTCTTTGGACCCACCATGCAAAGTACCTTGTGGATCTCATGCTTATACATAAGCCGGCTGTTGCAGCTCTCCACCAATGACATGGCGACCGTAGATCAAGGCAGATCAAGGAGGCGCAATTTCACAGAAGCAGAAATTGAGGTACCTGTGGGTGAGGTGGAGAAATGAAAGGAAGTGCTTTTGCAAAACAAATAAGGGAAAATCCACGGAGTGGCACAGCGTTGCTGAAGCCGTAATGCTGTGAATTCTTCAGAGATATCTGTGGCAGATATTAAAAAAAAAGGTCCAATCGGGATTCAATCCCCAGACTCCTGGGTGAAAGTCACACGTGCTAACCAGTCAGCCAAATAGAGATCTCTCTTGTCAAAGTAGCCAGGGCGCATTATCTATCGGATCACAGTGACAGGACACACACTGTCACAGACGCATGACATTCTGTCTCAATCTGTCCGCCTGCTGATATTCTGCATTCCTTATTCTGTGCTTAGGCTGTGTGTGTGTGTGTGTTCGTGCGCGCATGTGTGTGTATGTGTGTGTGTCCGCGCGCGCATGTGTGTGCGTGTGGGGGGTCTTGTTCTGTGTGAAAACGAAGCAGTACAAGTGATAATGCTGCAGGATTTCATAATTTTATCATTCTCAGCAGCATCCATGCTCTCCATGTCCAAAATGTGCGTACGCAAGGTCCTTAGTCAACTTAAAGTAGTGCACATTTTTCCGCTAAGTTCTTTCATGAATCCCAAAGTTTGCATGGAAAGTTGCTTACGCAGTTTTCCCACCCCTTTTTGTGTGTAAGCAAGCTTGATAAATGAGGCCCCTGGTCAGAGCTTGGTGTTACTTCTACTACTTCAGATGATACGTTTGTCTAAATTTGGTGCAAAATATTTGTGGCAGGTCTACAGATGGATTTTAGAGACATAAATTCGTTTTTTTTTCAGCATTTCTAGATGCCCAAGTTCTTGTTGAGGTTCTTCAGTTGAAACAGAGGTTCATGAGTTGCAAATATAAGTTTTCTGGTTCCCAAAGCAGACTTTTTGAAGGAGGGGGCTGTAGATGTGAGTGTCTCACTTTACTGCTCCCAACAAGCTGCTATAAAAAGCCCAGTAAAAGCACAGTGGGATAGGTGTTGCTGTACTTATTTATTTTTTTGTTTTGTTATCTAGAGAATGTCATACACGTTTTTATTTGCACCCCTAGAAATTGTGTCAAGGAAAGAAATATAATTTAACTAATCTGTATGCAGCATACAAAAGAGAGGCCGTTTGGACATGTTTATAATGACGTCACCTCTAAGGATCTTTTCCTCACATGTTCACCACACACACACTGACAATGTGTGTAGGACTAAGTGCTGACTTTAATTTACTCATTTGGAAGAGCAACACCTGCTCTCTCCCTTGCGTATAACTGCTCTTGGCTTGAGGGCGTCCATCCCTCCACATCCATAAATGCAGCACTGCTGGCATAAAGACAGTTGTAACCATTGAGCACAAGGCCATCAGTTGTGTGCCAGCACTCCAGTTAACTTTTGATTTAGTGGACTACACACACACTGTGGTTCAGTTGCAGTTGGCAGACGTTGTTCTTGACCGCTGTTGTATTTTAGGCTTTATTACAGTAACTCAAAGTTGGCTCCATACCGCAACATTCTTGTTCTGTTTTTCCAGGAACTTCTTGACCTCTTATATAACGTGTCACTCACGATCTGTACAGAAAGTAATGGTTTCCTTTAAAGCATGGAGAGTTGTGTATGGAAGTATAAATACTTTCCAGTCATGGTGTATGCATTATAATCAGCATAACGGTCAGATAAGCAGACAGCTCTGTTCAGATTTGTTTATCTTTTAGCCCACAGCTACTTTTAATGATATAATCAGTGGGGTGAAAGAATTGGACCGATACTTGGTAAACGTAGAGTGGAGACAGTGATGTTCCAATCCCCAGCTAGATTTATTCTCCTACTAAAAAGGCGTTGAAGCATTTGCTAAGAGTAATCACCTTATCAAATTGAGGAGAATGTTTTATTTGGTGTGAGAGTGAAGTGTGTTAGCCACACGTGGCATGAATCACAGCACAACAGTGAAGTGATGCAGGTTAATCTAGTATGATGAAAGCTGGTTGCAATATTCGTTTGAATCGCTAATATTTCTAAACTCCCAATTTTTTTATAGGTAAATGTTCATAGGTGGGGGTTGTTCAGGGGAAATATCTGATAAAGGGACAAGATATTTGGAAATTGCAATGAAAGTGTTGCATATTTTGTTTAATAACATTTAAGTTAATGCTTACAATGCCCAGGGTGGGTTTTTCAGAGACTGGGTGGGGATTGGAGGCTGTAATCGATTTTTTGCCATGTAGTTTCAATCTGCAGTTCATTGGACTCTAGGGTTGCAGGTGTCAAATGTTTTATTGAATCCTCCGTTGGATAATTAAATACTCTATCTGATTATGTTTCAAGTGAAACGAGACTGTGGTCTGCTGCTAAAAATACAAAAATTAAAACAGCAAAAGTCTCAATAATATTTATTTAATTGGTGTTGTCTAGTTCCCTCTTTCCCAGCTGATAGTTAATAAATATTTTATGGAAAAAATGTAACCTACATCTTAGGTTTGTAATAATATCACTCATCCTAGTCTAAATAACATATTCAAACATATCCACATATGACCAGTAGAACTTAAATATTTCACTAACATGTTTAGTGGTAAATGCTACAATTTTATTTCTAACAATGTCATTTTGGCATATCTGTACAGGGCGGCAGCACATTCCAGTCTAAATGTTATTCAGAGGTAGAAGTGAAAAAAGGAAACATGTTGGCCATTCATTTGATGTGCTATTTTTAAGTTTCAATAGTGAAAAAGTATTAAGCTGCAATTTCAAACTAAATTATGCTTATTGGTATTTAGATTTTTTACTTTAATCCAATGTTATTGACAGCAGGACACCCAAAGTAAAATTTTCTATGTAGAATAAAGCACTTCAATTAGCTTGAGTCCACTTTGCACATGCGCATTCTTCAGGGTTCTGGCGGACCTTTCTACTCGACCTTTTTCGCATCGTAGTCAGAGTGTCCATTTTAGAATCACGTCCACGTGGAAAGGGGTAAGAGCAAATGAACAAAATATGTATTTTAACTGATGCTAGTACACCGAATTTTTATCAGATATATTTATTTCATCATATCTCACGAATGGACGTACTTTCCACTCAACAAGCAAGTTACTAAACGGAGATACCGTAAAACTTTCTGAGGATTCGGCTCACTTGACTGCAGTGAGGAAGGAGAAGCTTCTGAAGAAAGGTAAGATTTAAGCTAATAATACAAAGAGACTTGTTCAAACAAAGTCGGCAACAGCTTAGAACTTAAGTAAAGGTTGTATGCTACGTTTATATAAGCATATATTAGTTTCAGTGCGGTAGCACGGCACAGGAATTATCTGCCATAAACTGCTAAAATGTGCTAAGCTAGAAAACAAAATGACTAGCTCTACCGAAATGACAGTTAGAGTTCTGCTACGTCTTTGACTATTCCCCCCATTGCGAGTGATTGTGTGTGTACGGTATGTGTCTGTGGGGGTGCCATGAGTTATTAAAACGTTCGGATTTAATCGTTCTTCGTGGGGAAAATAGGCATCTATTTTATTACTATGTACGATGCTTGAAATAAGACGTTCCATTTGTATTATTGCCTAATTGCCACCGTGTGGGCCCTTCGCTGCTTCTGCTAAGTTCGCTCACAGACGGAAGCGCGAGCTAGCCTGCAGCAAGCCAAGTTCCGTTTGTGACGTATCTACGCTTTGTGAATTGCAATGTGGGGTTGCGCAAATAACGTGTGGTGGCGTTTTCTGCGTATTTTATGTTAACAGGTTGTCTCATTAGTGCGCATCCACTATCTTTTAGGACATTTCACCCAATCAATGCACTTAGAAGGCAGAAACAACAAGATGATAATCAGTCTTTGGGAAATGTCAATTATATACTTCTGCATCTGGCCCCTGTCTTACGTTTTTAATACATTTCACCTGAGTTTTTTGCCATTTTTTATTGATGTTAAATGTAATGAAATTAATTGATAAAACTCAGGTGAAATTCATTTTTAAAAGATGTAGACCATATAAAATGAGTCTGTTTATATACATGCTATCAAATGCAATTATCTTTGCAGTTTAAACAATTGCTTGCCATAGATTATTTTTTAGTAGATAAATAAACAAAGGACCAGTGAATCACAACAAATGTTAAATGATGATATTGGGCTGATTAAGACAGGAGGAGGATGCAGAAGCATGTCCTTTGTGCTATTTTATATTTGTTAAAAAAAAATAATAATTTATATATATATATATATATATATATATATATATATATATATATATATATATATATTAGGGTTGTCACGGTGTGAAAATTTAACCTCACGGTTATTGTGACCAAAATTATCACGGTTTTCGGTATTATCGCTGTATTTTTTTGAAACATGTTAAATTTTCAGGAAACTAAAACCCTGTATATCAGGAAATATTGTCCTCAGTTTGTGTCTAAATTTTGCCTACAATTTGTTATTTTGTAATTGTTGTTTATTTGTTTACATTTTCCCCTTTAGTCTTTAAAATACCAATATTTGCCCATAACTTCTTATTTTTTGTCTGTTTGATGTCATCATTTTAAAAATATTAGACCAGATGATACTCAAGTAGCCTTCTAATCAGATACTTTTTACCCTTACTTGAGTAATAAACCCTATATCAGGAAAATATTGTCCTCGGTTTGTGTCCTTCCAGTGAGCTTTGCAGATGTGGGAAAATGTCATCAGGCAGTAATCTTTGTTAAATTCATAATTATTCTCAGAGAGAGACCAACTCTTATCTGCCCCTGGGAGCCCCGTAATGCATAGCGTCATTTCAACATGGGGGGTGTCCGTGACACGGTTTATATGCAGGTAGCTGCACTGTGGCTGCTTTATATAGCGACTCGTTGCTTTCTCTCTCAACCCAAATCCTCGGATCACGCATTTTAGCCAAAACGCTAACGCTAACTTGCCTTGAGTTGACTGTAAAGTTGTGGGTGATGGTCACGCAGATGTGTCATGAGATTTGAAGCGTTGCTGCCTTTCACACTTTTTCGTGCACGTGCTGCAAACAGGATAGCCATCTTCTATCAGCTGTCCCTCGGCATTCTTCAAATATCAAAAAATATGCCCATACTTCCGACTTTGTCTTCTTTGAGGGATAATAAATGTCCTGCGTGCTGCCGTCACCTCCTTTGACCATTATTTCAGCTTTAGCTTCAAGAAAGTTTTGGTTGTAAACATCAAAGTGCGCATGTGCCGCCGATAACTTCAGCAGATGATACGGTGGCTGGTAAGGGTCACCGCGCCTACACTGCAGCCACGGTAATCCACCGAGATAATATAGTTTTTTAAAAAACAAGACGGTTATTATTATTGTCTACTCTTTTACCGGGGTTTACCGCTACACCGGTTACCGTGAGAACCCTAATTTATATATATATATATATATATATATATATATATATATGTATAGTATTTTTTTCTCTCTCTCTCTCTCTTACCGCCAGGAAAGATGTGCAACTTATTGGAAGTTCTATATCAACTTGAGGTGAGTTCTTTGCATAATTTCTTCAGAGCATTTGATAATTAGATCATCCACCAATGATGTTTACCTTACACCACCCACTGTGTTTTTCCTCAGTTATCCATGCATGTGGAAATGTAAAGACTGTAATTATTCATGTTCAAGAAGATCTGAACTTCTAAAATATTACAAACTTGATCATCAACACTATGGGCTTATCCTTGCACGTATGAGCACTGCCCATTCACATGCAAAACATGGAAAGCTGTTGGACTGAAGAGGTTTTGTAAAAGAGATTAAATTAATAATGTTATTTATACATTTAAAAAGCTGATCTTCAAGCAGTGTGATCAAATGTGTATTTTGTATTTTTATTTTTGGTCTGTGAGTGTGCTTGTTATTTTACAGTCCCTGCGAGTTACAACAGTTCAGTTGGAGGCAATGTTTTTGGCACCGCTGGACAAACATTCTGCCAAACTGCTACAGGTCATTAGGAACAAGGGAGGACGTGTGAAAGAGCAGACCACTAGGACCTTGAAAGTTTTAGATGAGGTATGGGCATAAGGTTTAGTGGGATTTATTTTTGGTATTGTATTTTATGTGGCTATGAGTGAGGTTGTTATTAATAGCAATTGTTCTTACTCAGACTGTTGACATCACCATGAAAAGAGAGGCTGTATTCAAATCTCAGATCAACCTGGGTGAACCTGTTGAGAACCTTGTTAAAGAATGCCAGGTAAGAAATTCTCTTACTAACTTGAGCAACCTCCACAAACTCTTTTCTTGTGTGTTGAGATGTTTATGTTTATGTATTTGGCAGACGCTTTTGTCCAATGCGACTTACAAGTGATAATCGGCATGTTGCCCTTGAGGCTAACAACAACAACAACAACCAATTTCCAGTCAGTCGTAGGTGGCACCATGATGAATCATGGAGAGGAGGGAACAAGGAGTGGACAGTAGAGAGGGGGACGGGTGCAGGGAGGGTGCTGGTTTAGACAATGCTCTCTGAAGAGCAGGGTCCTCAGGAGTTTCTTGAAAGTCGAAAAGGAAGCCCCTGTTCTTGTAATGCTTGGTAGGTCATTCCACATTTGTGGAGCAATGCATGAGAAGAGTCTGGATTGTCCTGAGCATGGTGTAGGCACTGCTAGCCGACGATCCTGTGATGACCGGAGCGGCCGGGCCGAGATGTAAGCCTTTGTAAGAGGATTCAGGTAGATGGGAGCCGTACCATCTCGGACTTTGTATGCTAGTGTTAGCAATTTGAATTTGATGCATGCAGCTAGCGGTAACCAGCTAGCGGTAACCAGTGGAGCTCAATGAACAGAGAGGTGACGTGTGCTCTTTTTGGCTGATTGAAGACCAGACACGCCGCTGCGTTCTGGACCAATTGAAGAGGTCTCACAGTACAGCCTGGAAGACCAGTTAGAAGGGCATTGCAGTATAATGCAAATCAAACCCACCACCTACACAATGTTGCCAAATTAGCAACTTTATCACTATTTCTAACAACTTTTCATAACTCTTTTGTGAATGTATTGTTTCCAAAAGCGCTTAGCGAACAACCCATCAACATTTCTGGTAACCCGTAGAAAGTCCTTGAATAACTATGTTGGCGATATTCTTTGCAGATAAACAAAATACCCTGCCTGCGCTGTGTGTTTTGTTAATCTCCAAAGGGAAAAGGAATGTTCCGCACATGTGCATAAAATCATTACATGAATTGACCAATCATACAACTCTGTAGATGGATGCCACTCTGATAAGTTATTTTACAAGCAAATAATTATTATTCAGCAGGTTGTGGTAATTCACACTAACATGTTTATTTTTTTCCTTTTGCACAGATTTTTACACTACCGGAGTATTTATCTCTATTTTGGGTGCATTGGTTGTCAATGTTAATTAAAAGCCATATTAAATGTCTGCCATATTCTTGGTTATCTTTTTTGTCCTAATAAACAGTCCTACTTATTATATTTCAGTACATACTCCAGTGTTTTGGGAAGTAAAATGTCTAAATTGATGTGCTTTCATAAAAGTTTGTGCTATTTTAATTGAACACATTTTTAATGTTTTGTGTGTCTGCAGGATGTGCAGGAGAATATCCAACACCAACTGGAAACGATGGCAATATTCGTCATCAGGAGAGAGGATCCTTTCCATCCACTGAAAGACAAAACGATAGTCATCGATGGAGCACAGGTCCTGACAGATGTGCCTTCTGTCGCAACAGCTGTTGCCATGTTCTTTGGACTGATATACGCCCTCACCTTAAAGTATCCAAAACATCTGCAGTACACTCTGGAATGCATACAAAAGGTTCTGATGGAGCTCGGTGGCAAAAAGATGTCTTCAAAAGTTCACAAGCTGAGCACTCTGGTTTAGAGATGTTGAACTCCGCTTTGAGTTTTCCGATGTTGCATCTACAAAAAAGGACTTTAGATCCTTTCGTGACGTTTGTTCTGCTATTGCTGTCGCAAAAAGACTCAAGTACAGAGACTATTGTTCAATATTTTGTGAAAAATTAAGGAGCATTCCAAAACAATGTAGTGTTTTTATTCAGCCAAAGAAAGGGCTGCTTGCATTTGAAAGTTCTGGAACTGACTGTCACTAATATACCTGGTAACATTTTACCTTGATTTTGTTGAAAATGAGACAACTGTTGATTTAGTTTTATGAACATTTTATTATTATTTTTAGGTAATATTTATTGCCAGATTTAGTTCAACTATTTTTTATTTCATTGAATCATTTGTTTGATTTTCTGAGTGAATAGTTTGGTTCTATTCAGCAGGATTGACCTGGACAAAATGTAAACATTTCAACGATTCTGATAGCCAACAATATATCTTTCATAATACAAAATTACAGTGCTGTTAAAAAAATAAGCATGTTAAAAAAATCTAGGTGCATTGTTTTGGCTGACATGTTCTTTAAACAATAAATGTTTATAGACAAAAAGTGTGCTGCTGAGTGTAAATTAATGCAAGTGTAAAAGGAATATCATATTTACAATATAATCACAATTATTTGATACAGTTTAAAAAGTTGCATTTGCTCAAACATTCAGAATTAGTTTCTATCAATTTTAAAATGTCAGGTTAGGTTTAGTGAAATATTTACATTGAGTAAAAAAATGCAACTTAATTTTTTTTAGGAACTTGATATTATTGATTTGCCTTGACTACAAACATCAGTTTACATGAAATTAAAAATTTAAGGTTACAAAAACTTAATTTTATTACATCGTCAATGCTAAAATATTAGGTGTGACGGATTACTTCAAAATGTTTAAGTTAAGGCAGTGTTACATTTCTTTCAGTGATACTGAAACGGCTTCCCACCTTGCTGCTGCACTGTGATGTAGACTCGCAGCAACAACCTGGCTCCAAGTAGCTGCTGCAGTTCAGCTCCATAATGCTACAGGCTGCAGACATCCACAAATAAACGAGATTGTAGTGAATTTTCTTCCACTTCTTCAGTTAAGGCCTAGTCCACACGTAGCCGGGGTTTTTTGAAAACGAATATCCGCCCCTCCAAAAACTTGCATCCACACCACCGCGTTTAAAAACAAACTCTGTCCACACGTACCCGGATAAATACGTTGTTAAGGACATGCCAGACCTGTAGGCGGCAGTACTTCCCCCGTTCTTAACCTCGTCCTTCGTCTGTGGTCTTCCGCAAGGAGCAGTAATTCCACTTGCATAAACAAACAAGCAGAAAGCGCTTGGACAATTGATGGATCGGGTAGTGACAGAGCGCGGCTCTGAAGGCTTCCATGATGCCGGCTAGTGTAAACACAGGTCGCACACGTGATGTCAGCATTTTTTGTCGCGGAAAGTGACGTTGCGGACCTTAAAACTCCGGTTTTGTCCGTCCACACGCAGACACCCAAAACGGAGAAAACGCAGATCTTCACTTTGGCCGGAGTTTTTAAAAAGATCCGTTTTCGTGTGAAAAAACTCCGTTTTCGTGTGGATGACGTAGAAAAATATCTACGTTTTGGCAGATCCCCGGCTACGTGTGGACAGGGCCTTAGTCATTTGCCGGTTGTTTAACTCTTGATCCCAATCTTTGGACCATTTCTGCCTTTATGGGCTGTGTCTTTGCTGGTTTCTCCATTTTTCTCCACCTACAGTGCACCAGTAAAACGTTTTCAGGCTGTGGTGCGCACATTTAACAAAGCCTTGAATCAGTAAAAAATAAATATTCAAAGAATTGTATGAACTAAACCAGTCAATGCTCTGTTTTAGCCTCAGTGGACTCTTTTGCAATATTATACTCATTACTGTTGTGATTTTGTCCTGATTCTCTTTAGTTATCTCTCATAAAGATGAGAGTTGTAACAAGGCACTTTGCAAAGTAAACATTACAAATCAACCCAGTGCAAAGTTCAGTTCACCATGTCATTTATTAATGTTTTTTATGTAAGAAAACATATTTACTGACTCGTGTCAGAGACTTTACATCAATCCCTCATAGCACACATGTAGAGACAGTGGAGAGGAAAACTCCCTTTTAACGAGAGGAAACCTCCAGTAGAACCTGACTCAGGATGTGTGGTTCATGTGGCTTTGTGATGTTCCAGCTTTAGACTAGAACAAAGAGTGACTTAGGTCACTTTGATAACGGCGTGATTGTTGATTCTAGATGAGCTGGTCTTCACACGGCAGTATTTTTAAAGAGTTGGCCGGTTTTCAAAATGTGAAATCCCACAAGTGATGATTATTCATGGATGTAACACTTTGGTCCTACAGTGTATGGTGTGCAGCAACACAGCAGACATTATACTTTACCCATGAGCCGCTTTCACTCAGACGCTCACCAGTCAGATGGGAAACCTTGTAAGACAAACATTTAACAGGCAACATGATCATTTATCCTGAAGAATCGGAGAAATACAAATAAATAATTAATTTACAGTAAATGAAATGATACACATTTAGACTCACAAATTAACATAGTTCTGCTTTTGTATCAGGGATTTAAACCTACAACATGAAGTGTATTTTACTTAGACACGTTTTAAAAGCTTTATCTGTTATTTCTTAGAAATTCATCTCGTTTAAAGTATATAGAACATTTACACACACACACACATACACACACACACACACACAAAGTCCCTGCTGGTGTCATGAATCCACAGGGTATTAGAAGGGGAACGGTCTCAATCCATTCCGAAATTAATTAAAGGTGGACTTTTGAATTAATTAACTGGACAGGAGAGTGGCATTACACTGCTCTGGCTTCATGACATTATAAAGCCACACACACACACACACACACACACACACACACACACACACACACACACACACACACACACGTAATTGCCAATGTGCAGATCATAATACAATGTGGATCAGCCTTAATTACATATTGTGCTGGTATTTATGCAAATGTCTGTATGGATGTGAGTGAAGGTCATAATAATGTGAATGCATCTGTTGCATTTCATTTACAGTGATGCGAGATAAGCACCTAATGCTAGCTTAGCTGAAATGACACTCGACCTGGTGAGGATCAGATGTTTATTACTACTCCTATGCCTGCGGCTGCAGTGGCAAACACACAACTGATTAGAATTTAATTAGGTAAAATTGTTTTTATCATTTATCATTTTTATTAAATACATTTTGAAGACTTTCATTTGAGCCGTGGTCTGCAGTGCATTTTGTTGGGTACCAGCTTGGTTCATTGTAAATTGCTCTCAAAATGTGTTGGTATAAGCTACAAAGTACAACATCGACAGACTGTAGAAGCAAAAGAATTTTGCTTTGCAGGCCAGACTAGCCACGCTCCAGTAGCCTCAGCAGATCTACCATTGGCCTGAGCAGTTTTGTGTCTTACCAGGCACAGCACTGTCGGTTTGGTGGGCAGATTAGCACCAGCATTGCAACAGAACAAAACAGTAAAGATGGTGACGGCTTGTTTGAAAACAGCTTTGGCATCAACTTTGGGCAATGAGCCTTTCCTCGAGTCAAGACCAGAAAGAGGTACTTTTTTTTTTATTTTAAAAAAAAAGGTGTATTTGCATCTTTTTCAACAGTGTGTGGCAGACTGCACTGTTCACTGACAGCCGTAGTGGTGAGTATGTCACATTTGTTGTCCAACAGCATGAAGTGACCGGCTTAAAATACAACTGTAGAATCTGCCCGATGACTGAGGTCTGTCTTTGGGTCGTGGCAAGACTATATACTCACATCTAGAAGATGGCTTTCCAGGCTAACAAAATATTAAATAAAGAAATACTGATGAATATTATACGATGGAAAGGAGCTTGTATGCAGTGGTTTTTGCAGGTAAAATTTGCCATTAAAATTGAGCTATATAAAATACATTACAGCCTAGTAAAACTGTGTGAATGGGATGTTCTGCTCTTGTTTTCTGGCCATCTCAAAGAAAATAGAAATTCCAATATTAAGTCAAACAACACCACACTTTTATAGAATGACTTTTGAAAGTATTGTTAAAAAATGTAGCCTCTCAAATATTAGTGCATGCAAGATAAAAATATAAACCAGTAAATAGAGATTCGGTATTAGTTTTTCTGTTCTAATTCTTAGATCTTTTTGTCAGATGTTCCTAGGGTGGGATTACCTTCATCTCCATAGCCAAAAGTCTAAAAATGTGGGCTTTTTTGGTTTGGAGATTGATCAAGGTATTAATTATGATGTTTACCCAAATTTTTGATATTTTGTTCTCCCTGTAATTCATTAATTCTGCTCCGTTCTGTTGAATCAAAACTTACTTATCATCAAACTACCCTTGGTGGTTGGAATAACTTACTGATCGAGGACGTTGAAGTACCATTCTTTATTCAGTGCGGTGTTCTAAGGATAAACCGAGTCCATTCCTTGGCTGAGAAACAACACCACACATGACTGACCTTAGGGCTCAACTGTTGGCAGGACACAGAACTGGTTGGATCACTCGTGTTTTCCTCTCGACAATCCTCTTTGCAAATTTACCAATAAGAGGGAATTCATTAGTGTGTTTACCCGGATACTCAGCAGTGTAGTCCCTGGACCTTTTGAAAAGTCAGTCTGGCAGTTTTTTTGTTTGTTTTTTTTCCCACTGCTGCTCCCTTTGACATCTGATCATGTAGTTTTTTTTTTTCACAAATGCAGTGAAAAGTTCATCTGATCACTCTTCATATCATTCTACAGTGCGTACATTTATATATAAAAGCTAAAGCAGCAATCTTTGAGATATCCGTGCCTTTTTCCAAACTTTTAGCCACAGTTGTAAGTGAAGACACGAGATGTGTTCTAAAATAACAACTAAAATGCCTGAACTTTAAGATCAG